CCAAGCAGGATGTACAAATCATTTAAGTAAAATGACAAAAGTTTCACAGGTCAATTTGCCACCTTCCCTTCGTATGTCTTATATTTGAGTTTTGTAGTTGCACTGATAGAGATAACTTAAGATTGAACTGGGCAGTACTCATGCTTTCTGGTCTAAATGTGGTACAAGAGTTATTTATGGGGAATTACATATCTTGACAAGTTTTCCAGGATTGAAACTTACTTAGGACGTCTACAGCAGAAATCCTTTCTTTAGGATCAGCTTGTAGCATTTTCTTCACAAGAACTTTGGCACTGCTTGATATGGATGGCCAAGGGTCTGAAGAGAAATCAATATGTCCCCGCAAAACAGCATCAAAGATACCCTGCTCATTCTCTGCATATGAAGGGAAAAGAGAGAAGGTTGCAAGGTGCAACATGATGGAGTAGTATTGATCAAGTGAATAAGTGGCACAAAGAAAACTAAGTTAACGAACAAAGAATTCTTGGAATTTGATTCAGCCACAAAAGTGCAGTCACTGGAGACCTTTCATCCTTGAGTATTAGCTTTAGGTCAAGTCCTAATACATGCTGATGTAGTTTAGGATACAGCTGCTTAGTTTCTACTTTCAAGTATGTTAGAAGCTATCAAGTTCCATGAGTCTAAGAAACCCTCACCCTAGGCGTGATGCCAAGGGGATTATAGGGGTGATTCACAGAGGTTCATCCTCTTCTCTTATTTATTTGTCCTGCAGCTTAGATCCAAAGTCCAGCCAGATCCAATATCCCATATCAACCCATTATCTTCTATCATCACCATCCAAACCTAGCACACCAACCTCAACAGGCTTAGTAGCCCAAATTTTGTTCTTTCTTACACTGATTCAAGCCCCAGAATTTACCTCTTCTGTTACATCTTTTACAAACCCTATAGAAATTTTTGCCAACGTTTAACCACAAAACAAAGCCAAGATAAGCCCCAAAACCGTTTTCCTTCCCCTGTCCAAAATGTAGATTTGGTGCTTCAAATCACACGAGGGTCTACCCTGCAATGTCCTATAGCATGCATAGATGCAGTTCGCCCTCTGTGATGCGTACAGGGTTGTCATTAAGACCAAAATAGTCAAGTCACAAGGCTCATAAAACAACTTAGCAGATTCATATTAGTTTTCTAGTAACCAATGATCATCGCAGCACACGTGACTAAGATTTTTAGAGATTGAAGACAGCAGTATTGAGGATCCTTTAATGATTATTAATGTTTGATCCACACCTACAACATGGTGGATAAGAAAATTCATCACATATACCGTGCCCACATATATACACCTATCTAAACCATGTTTACCCACACAAAAAAAAAAAATAAAAAATAAAGCCAGATAGAGTGCGCAAGAGAGGGAAATGAAGGGAAGGGAGATAACTTAAATGTTATATTTTATCTGATCATCTCATCAAGAGAAAAGTACCAGCCCAAAATGGTGGGACACCACAAAGTAAAATATATAGGATCACTCCAGCACTCCAAATATCAGACTCCATTCCGTAATTACGCCGCAACACTTCAGGGGCCACATAATATGCACTTCCAACAAGGTCTTGAAATAAATCTCCTGCACCCACAAACCATCTATGAGTTCAAAAACATCACCAGAAAGCCCAATAAATAGATAAAAGTGATGCAGTAATGAGCAGGGTGAGGCTATATCTAGACCAAGCGGGTACACAACCCGATCCCCAAGTTTTGAAATTACCTTTTGGCCTCCTACCTCTAGTGAACAATTATTGAAACGACTGACATGGACATTTTGAAGTATTAATATTCTAATATGGCCTGGTTAATCCTAGTTTAGAACTTTAAAACTTATAGATTGCTCTCCCCAGGTCCAAATCCTGGCTTTTCCCCCTCATAACGAGGAAGCTCAATAAAAATGTGAATGCACGACTAAAGAAAAAAAACACAACCAAGAAATTGTATCATGGTGGTCCTATATCTTTGCCATCTATATAAAATTTGGCCAAAGGTATATAAGGGAAAAGTGATAGTGAGGAAAAAGGAAGACGCTTAAAGATGACTGAAGAGACGACTATAAAAATGAAAAATGAATGAAGAGCTGCGATAAAGGCCTTGGAAAACGTTCCCTCTAAGGGGAGTACTCAGTTGGTCAATGGCTTAGACAATGTGCTGATAATGAGTCACAGTATTAACAGGAGAAAGATGCTCAAAAGTTGGTTTTGTGTGTGCAGAAGGGATATGGAGACAATGACCATGCTTTATTGTAAGTTTAATAGATAAAGGGTCTGTCTTCTGTCATTATGCAAGTTATGTTGTCTCACAGTTAGATGCTTCACGTGGTAGCTTCATTATGAAGACAGATTCAGCATTTTGAAGAGTTATTTGGCCTTCTTCTTCTCTCTATTTCGCTCTAATTCATTAGCAAGAGAACAACATAGTTGTGTTCTCATGTCCATCGACAGAACAAAAAGGGAAATGAACCTAAATGTACGTGGACAAACATCATCACAATTCTTTCATTAAAAATCATGAAGAACGTCATGAAAGCGTGACAAGTTAGACTCCTAATATACTATAACAATTCCGCCTAACAAAATCTAGGATATGATCCAAAAACATGGGCTTGTACTTACCCTAAGTTATTTTCTTCATCCAGTAATCACTTTGGAGATAAATCAATATTAATATTTCTTCATAAATGCAATGCTTGGTTGAAGATAGTAACTAAAATTCTTACTAGTAAGATTTTGGTCGTAGTTGATGCTTCGTCCTTCAAGTTATGCACCTAATCACTGGACCACTGAAATGGGTAAATGTATATTCCAAGGCAATTGTAAGCTATATTTCACAATGTGCTCTCTCTCTCTCTCTCTCTCTCTCTCTCTCTCTCTCTCTCATAAAATTATTCCAGCCCTAAATCAAGTCGATTTCTCCTATCCGAAAAAGAAAGAGCACATTATGTTCAAAAGAAGAGGCTATCAACATCACAACACATCCAAAAGCATTTCATCTTCAAAATTAAGTTTGCAATAATAATAACGTAAGGCTCACATTGATCATAAATTCATCGAGAGATGAAATTAAATACCTGGTTTAAAGAAAACTGAAAGCCCAAAATCCGTGGCCTTCAAGGGCGAATCCTCATCAGAACTCAAGAACAAGAAGTTTTCAGGCTTCAAATCTCTATGCATCACACCCATGGAATGACAATTATGCACCACAGTCACAATCTGCCTACACAGACTCGCCGCCGCACGTTCCGAATAATGTCCCTTCGCAATAATCCGATCAAAAAGCTCGCCGCCGGCACACAACTCCATTATCAAGTTCACCGACTGACGATCCTCGTACGCGTCTTTGAGCTCTACGATGTTCCGGTGTCCGGTCAAGTGGTGCATGATCTGGACTTCGCGTCGGACGTCTTCGACGTCGTCTTTGTTGATGAGTTTCCTCGTGGCGATTGACTTGCACGCGAATTGTTTATTGGTGGTCCGGTGGGTTGCGAGGTAGGTTACGCCGAATTGGCCGCGACCGAGCTCGCGGCCAAAAATGTATGTAGAGCGGACGTCTTCCATTGGCCGGCCAAGGACTCTGCCGGTACCGGAGAGTGTCTGAGAGACGATGGTGGACTGTGGGGCATCGGAGGGGCGAGAGTTATTGCCGGTGGTGGAGGCTGAGTCAGGGCGGACTTGGGTTTCGGAGGTGGGTACGCCATTGCGGTTACCCATTTGTGCCTATACGAGTGCCAAGTCAAAGTGGGTGTGAGACACTATATAACAGTAGGGTGTCCTGTCCGAAGACGAGGTTGCGAAATGACTGAAATAGCCTTTCTTGCGAAATGACTAAAATGAATTAGACGGCCGGCCTTCAGAATCTTATTAGGGGAGATTTTGTCCCGCAATTCGCTGCTTGTTTGGTGCATTGGAATTTAATTATAGGGGTAATTGTAGTGGAGGTCTCTAAATAATAAAATTTATATTATTTTAATTTTTAATATTTTAATTATACTATTTTTATGTCTGAAATATTAAATACATTTTTATGAGACTTTTCAAGCAGAAATATTCAATTTTTTATCATAAAATTGTCACTTGATGCCTAAATATGAGCAAAAAATAATTTAAGTAGTTCTTAAAAAAAATTGTATAATATTGATAGCTCTTAATCAAAATTGTGTAATTTAGATAGCTCTTTGACCAAAATTTGGATATAAATTTGGTCAAGAGTTATCCAAATTAGTTTTTTATTTATATTTAGGTATTATGTAAAAAATTTCTAGTAAAAAATCGTTAATAATTTGGATGTTGTCTACTGAGGGACCACATAAAAATATATTTATTACTTCAAAAATTAAAATGATACAATTGAAATATTGGAGACAAAAAAGAGACAAACTACATATTTTAGAAATTTCTAATGCAATTAACCCATAATTATGCACCTCAATAAATATTTTTTTCTTTTCTTTTAATAATAAATGTTTGATTTGAATTGGTCGAATGAATGCTTTAAATTTAATTTTAATTCGGATAATAAAATTATTTAGATTTTTATTGAGCAATCCGTCTATATTTTGGTTTCATTATGAACTTCCACCAGCAAAGAGCAGTAGAACCAATAAAAAGCAGAGATGCGTTTGCCGGGAGTCGAACCCGGGTCTATTGCTTGGAAGGCAATTATCCTGACCGTTGGACTACAAACGCCTTCTTGTGGGAAGTTTCTATAATAATTTATATGTGTCAAAAATCCACCTAGAGTCTTAAGTCTAAACGCTAGGAAACAAACCTGTTGTTCACTGTCACTGGGTACCTAAAAGAAAAATATAAAAAGCAACCCCATGCATGTGGCTCACTTTAGATTTGGGTGAGAGTTATATGTAGACACTATTAGTCTACATTTTAATTGTTCAAGTTACGATAAAACAATATTATGGTCATGTCAAAATTCATCTTATTTCTTGAGATAACACTATCAAACGACATTCAACGGAGCTATCATCCAATTTCAGGGTTTTATTTCGGCAAATGAAATCCAGTGCAATCACCATAAAAGCTGTACCAAGTAACTTACTGCTTAATCAACTAAACATGCCACTTGCACGCCTATTGTATTTCTGAATAATCTGTAATTGGAAGGAGTACTTAGGTAATCCAACAGAAGGTAATCTTCCTCTATTCACACACAAATCGTAATCCTAACAATTGGCATTAAGCTTAGGTTATCTCGAATACCAGATTGACCTCATGAAGACTGCATTGGCTTGTCCAAGATGTAGCTCAGCTGTCTGAACCCGACGGAGATGCAGACCTTCACATAGGAGACTTCAATACTGAACAAAACAAAACCAAATGTCCCAGTTCTGTATGCAACAGCTTGTACCATCTTAAACCAAAAGCCTTATTCTAAATAAAGTGCCTAATCGATTCACACTAGACATATTTACAAGAACCAAACTCGCTTGGCATTGCCAAATATTCACAAAGAAATACCAATGACCTGTACTCAAAGGCTAACTCTAATCCTAGCTGACTTCGTTTATTGCCACATGAGTGGTAAGACGCAACACCTGAAATTCCCACCATTTATAAATGAAATAAAACAGTTTTTCATAACCAAACCACTTGACAAACTCGAAAGGCAAAGGACGCCAATATGCAGAGGAACTCAACCGACCACCAAAACCTAATTGAAAGTGCAGGGTAGGTAGAGAAACTGCATTACATCCACCTCTGAGGCATCATGTAAGATTCCTCTGGTTCAGATGGACCACCACCTATGCTCTTGCCGCTGCCAAAGCCAAGACCTGAACTATCTGCCAGCATTGACAGCAAACTTCCCCCATGCACCCTTCCTTCTGGAATCATAACTGAAGAGCCGCCTCCATCTGGCAGACTAGCTTGCTGGACTCCAAAATGTTTCCAACGAGAACCATTATAGCCAACACTGCTCTCCAAGTTCATGACATCAATTCTCATGTCATCAGCATAGACAACCTCTTTCATCTTCTCAGGTTTGCCAGGTTGTGAATCCTGCACCATATTTCCCAGACTACCACCCCCGTGAACCCTTTTGTCCTGCACTAGGGCACCATGGGATGCACACATCCCAGTCTTCCCCCTAGCATGTGACTTACAGGGACCGTCGCCTATGCCAAATTCTGAACCAGGCTGGCCCCAAGAGCATTTCTTCCCTCCCCCATGGGCCTTGCAGAAATCTGTGCTTCCTTGTGCGCTTTTGCTGCATCCTTCAAATTTGCACCTCTTGCCCCCACCATGTCGAACACAGAAATCAGTCCGTCCCCTTGCACTCTTTGTGCACTCTAGCATAGCACATCTCTTACCACCCCCATGTGCAACACAGAAGAGGGTCCCTCCATGCACGCTCTTTGGGCAAAACCCACCACCTTGGAATGAACACCGTTTACCTCCACCATGGCCCTTACAGAAAGGTGTGCTCCCTTCTGCACCTTTGGTACACCCTTCAAAAGTACACCGTTTACCGCCACCATGGGCCTTGCAAAACATTGTGCTTCCTTGAGCCCCTTTAGTGCATTTCAGATATTGACATCGGCGACCACCTCCATGTGAAATGCAGAGACCTGAAAGGCCTTCGGCACTCTTTGTGCAGTTCTCTTTCTGACATCTCTTGCCACCGCCATGCCGAATGCACAGTCCAGATTTCCCTCTAGCAGCACGAGTGCAACCTTCATAACTGCATCTTCGACCACCACCATGTGCAATACAGAAATCTGTGCGTCCTTCTGCACTCTTGGTACACCCTAAGAAGTCGCAACGCCGACCTCCACCGTGGGCTTTGCAGTATGCAGTTTGGCCCTCGGCCCCTTTATGACAGCCAGGTTTCTGACACCTACGGCCACCGCCGTGGGCGATACAAAGTCCAGAAGCACCTCTTGCTCCCTTTACACATCCCTTGAACTGGCATACTTTTGATGTACTGCTGCTGTGCTGCTGCTGCTGCTGCTGTTGTGTTATCCCGGAAGTACAGGTGACTGTGCTTTTTGGTGTCATTATTATGCTTGATGAGAGGTCTGGAGATATCCGAGTGGGCTTGATTTCTCTAAAGGTCTGGTTGAGGAAGTAATTAGGGTCCACAGTCAGTGAGGTTGGCAATGAGTAAAATGATTGTCCAGTTTTCCAAGGTGATGATGGCCCTTCACCTATATGAAAGGCTCCATCAGGGAACAGTGGCATCTTAATCACACCCTGAGGTGAAGTGGAGCTCAGATGAACGCTAGTGATATCAGATTCAGCAGGCCCGGTGGAGAGACTCAACTCCAGATCAACCTTGGGCTGAACATCCAGTTCTTTCAGATTAGAGGTATAAGATTTCTTTGAGCTGGGTGTCTTCTCATTGCCAAGATGAAGAGTGAAATCTAATTCAAGTTCCATTGAGGTCTCCTCATCAGTTTCTTTGGCCGAAGACAGCGTGGTGCATGCTGTTGCTGAACTCCCCTTGCTGTCCGAGGAACTTGATGAGTGGCCCAATTGAAGACATAGTGAAGACCCAACTTGCTGGTCCATAGATCCATCAATTGAACTCCACTTCCGTTTGATGCCCTTGGCAGCAGACAAGAAAGGGATTAAAGAACCAGGGGAATCAAGTCGTAAGGTAGTATCTGCACCACAATGGGCTGTGCTGGCTCCACAACTTCGAATGGAATTGCCCAGATTCTTAAATGCACTGAAGGAGGGGTTAGCAGCAAAACCCAGATTCTGGAACCTGGCATCCATGAAGCAAATAGCTAAGATGCAACACTCTTATTCAAACCAAATCTCAATTGCAAAAGCACAGTCCACCTGTCCTCCGGGTTGAAGAAATTAACTACAAAACTAGGGTTAGATGCCTCTAAAAGAGTACATCCCACCCCCGCTCACAAATCCTGAAGTGTCACACCGATCCATTTGCTATAAAAATTCAATATAATCCAACTCGTCAGCAACAACAATAACCAATGAAAAATCTACACAAACTTGAATCCGTCACTGGAACATCCCAACAGTCAATCATCCTGTTTCAACAAAGTCAAATTGCTAGGGAAATCACCTTGTTTGCCAGAAATACGTTTGCTGATTAAAGTAATGACAACTAGAATTGAGGTTGACAGATTGCAAATTAAACGGAACTAAACGTAGTTTCTGTACACCTATAACCAAGCAGATTCTCGACAGGTGGAACCTCCATGAAATAAATGATATATAAGAAGCTGGAAGCATGCAAGTTTCACATATGGATAATTGACAAGCAATCAGCACTCAGACTAATCACAGTGGCAATCTATTCAGCCTTCAAGGAAATAATAAAAATTGAAAAAATTACACAGCCAATAAGCTGATTCCAGACTTCTGATTCTCAGACTTTTTGAATTAGAGAACATTAGACTAATTCAGGTGCAGAAACCACAAGACATCTCTGGTCACAGACCAAAATATTTGCTTTACATGAAAAGGGAAGGGAACAGAAAGAATTTCCCTCAATTCAACTGGACTTAGATCAGGCAAAGCTGAAGGGGGAATGGGGATAGATTCTAATTGACAGAGGTCCATAGGATCCAGCAGAAGGTATTTAGCCTAGATCTTCTTATGAATTCCTAACGTTTCCAAGTACAGTGACAATTTGACAGATGATGACAATAAGGAGATGGGAAAATAGACAACAAATGAACAAGTTATCTTATTTTGATAAACCAAATTGGTTGCCCAAAAAGCTGATAAAATAGCAGACAACTCAAATTTCGAATGTCATCATGTTTTAGCTGATAAAATGAAGCTAAACAAAGAAAAAGCAAAATAAAGATGGAAAAGATAATATTGATTTAATAGACAGATCAAAACCAAAATAACAAAAATGAAACAAATATTACACAGAAAAAAGAGTTATCACACAGAAAAAAGAGTTATCACACATGTTATTGAGTGAACATGCGCATACAAGAGCAATTTCTAGGCTGCATGCATCCACTGATCTGAATATGATCAGACCCAATAAAAAAAAGAATCTGGTTGAAAAACAAAACGCACAGGAGAATCACCAGCAAAAAAAAGGTCCCTTGTACAATCTTTTCCCATCCTTTATATAACCCCAAATGTACAAAGAATTCTATGCATTTACGGCCTACTTAAAAATACATTTAGAATGACTACTGAAGAAAAAATTTTGAATGGAAAAATGCAAGCTGAGCTAAAGCTCCATATTGCTTGAAAAGAAAACAATAAATCACGATATGCAGCAAAAGAAGCAAACCCACTGAAGTTCTGAGTATACTAGAAACAATAAAATAAAAATATTTGTAACCATATGATAAATACCGCGACTACAGGACAGCTAAGAGATAAGAATCAAGCTGTAAATTTAACTTTAGCAAGGATCAAGACATAATAGATTTGTCTTTCTGCTTACAAACGAACAAATTCCACAGTTCCGTGCAAGATAAAACCAAGAAAAGACCTTCAATTTAGTATTTTTTTTTTCCAGCTATAATAATTAGGAAAACGAAACAATTCAATTACTATCGGCCAATCGACTGTATTACCTTAAGCATTCTCAAGGTTACGGAGCAACAAAGAGTGGTAGGTTTCAGCTTTCTTCCTTCTTTTCCTTCGGATTCACAGCAACCACGCGTGGAGTCAATGCCAAAGCAAACTGAATTAAAGCCTAATCAGAAAGATAGATAAAGCAATAAACAAAAAGTAACCGGACAAGTGAAAATTATGAGATCCACAGATATAATTATCAAAAGCAAAATTAATCAAAACTCAATCACCATATTATCGAGCGGCGATACGGAGAAATTCGGGGAGAAGTTAGACAGCAAACTGAACATAGATTTGGAATAAAAAAGGATTTGATAAAACAGAGATCGAATCTGAAACATATTCCAAAGATATATCTTACCTTTGAGGTTGATAACTTAACCAGAAAGATATAGGTAGGGCTTAAGGAGCGCCGGCAACGAACGAGACGGGGTGGACAGGAGAAAAAAGAAGATGAATATATACATGGAGAGAGAGAGACAGAGAGAGAGAGAGAGTGTTCGGTGTTTGGAGGTGTGGGAAACTGCGGATAGAAATTAACGGATTGTGACGCAGCGCATGTTAAAAAGATCGGCGTACGTTAAGCCGTGGCTTACGGCCTGATAAGACAATACCATCCATGCGCAAACCAAAATGGGTACGAAATTAATGAATGTGTTAATTACAAAATGCTCTTTTTAAATTTAGATCAAGTTATAATTCACTTCATCTAGTTTGAATTTCATTAAATTACTCCCTTAAAGTTTGTACATTTTTTTAATTAACTCAAATTGTTAGTTTCGATAGTGAAAAATAATAGAAATGAAATCACATGATCTCATATTTATTAAAAAAGAAAAATTACCCCGAATTTGAAAAAAAATTCTCACGACAAAAAATTCCTAATTCTTCTTCTGACAAAATATTTATGAGATCATGTGATTTTCGAGTGAATATTTTTGGTCATTTTTCACTTTCGAAATTAACAACTTAACTTAATTCACTAATATTTAAATTTTGAGAGGATAAATTATTGAAACTAAAATCAGAGAAAGTTGATTGAATGTGACTTAAACTTGAAAAGGGTATTTTATGATTAACACAAAATTTAAATAGACTATGGATAAATTTATTTGATCTCTCAAGTTAGTGAGTCATAGAAATTTAATCAAATATAATATAAATTTATTAAATATAATTTATACACGACATAAAATTGATATCTTATAAACCTAATTATAAATAGACATAATTTAAATTGACTAAATTTTGACATAATATAACTTTAAAAAATACAAAATAATATGACACAACCGGTTCAATTTGAAGGTTTAAGGTTTTGATTAAAAATTTAATTCTTTAATTTTAGAATTTAATTTTTACACTTTTTTATCAAAGAATTAAACTTAATTTTTTTATTCATGAATTATAGTATTAATTTCACAATCTGTATATTTTGTAATAATTGCATTGAGTATTGTCCAATAAATTATTTATTAATGACCGAAGAATACAAACTTTCTACGTATGATCGTCACGAACTAAATTATAATCAAATTACTTTGGATTAATTACCAATCGTAGTAATTGACGATTATGCATTAGTTTTATAATATTGTTCTTGGATATAATTGTGATACTGTTAAAAAAAATTGCTACCATATCTAAATTCTAAGTCGTAGATTATTATTTGATAAATTTTTAGTCATTAATCATAAAAATCTTAATATTTTATCAAACAAAAAATAAAAATATTATATTTAAATTTATTTTTTATACCATAATTAGATAATATTGTTGTCAGGTATGTTGGCGAGTGCACGGTGTGACACGTCAAGATGCGTAGGGTGTAAGTTATTTTGACTTCCCTAGGAAATTTCGAATGAACTTGGATGTTGTTCCTGCTACATTCGTAGTTCTAGACCTAGTCGGCAGCGCCTCGTCACCGTTCGTGGTGCATTCGCGCTCGCTCTCTCTCTCTCTCTCTGCTTGGACGCTACAATTAATAACTCTTCCTTACATTAAATAAATAATCGGTGGACAAGTCTCTCTATCGTCTTTTATTATTTTTGTGTATATTTTAATTATTATCATTTTTATGATTCTTGCGATTGATTTTAATTTACAAAAATAGTAAATTATTTATAAAAATTGTAAATATTTTTATTGTAAAATAACTCACAAAAATTATAAATATTTTTATTATAAAAATACTCATAAAAATTATAAAAATATTTATTAAAATAATAAAATTTAGAATTACGTACCCATTTTTTTTGTTCAATACAGTAGTAGTGAAGTCCACAGTCGGTGGGCCTGCTGCGGCGGTTTTTGCTTTTAAATTACTTATTCAATGATCGCGTTTGCCCCATTCCCCTGATTACCCAGATATTTTTGACGTACCAAGGACGAAATCCAATCTAAGTTGATGATATTTTCCACCCAATCTATATAGGAAAAAAAGACTACGGTTAAGTACCAAAAAATTTACATTTTTTATGGTTAATTTATACCTTTTTTTAATGTGTAAGTTATAATTTTAAAAGGTATGAATAACTATGAAAAGTTAAAATCGATATCGAGAGTTCGTGATCGATTATGAGTGTCTGGTATTGATAACATCATTTCCTTGAGCAGTTGTATCTTCTATTTTTAAAATTGTAACTTTATTATAAAAAGTAGTAACAAGTAGTACGATGGTGAATTTTTTTTCCCCCATAAAGTTAGACTTTCCCATTTATATAATAAGAGGATTAAATAATTAAATTTTATCTTCACATATCTTTTCGTTCATTTTTGTCACATCACTTATGATATTAATTTTTGATTAATTGTGATTTAATATAATTTTTATTTTGAACATTATTCATATACAATAATATACACATGCTTATATTTTTTTGATGTCATATATTCTAAAAAAATTTATTTTAGTGATATTTAAATTTTATGTTGTATCGGATTTTCAAGTACAAGTTGATGAGCCCGAAATTAACTGGACTCAAATAGGAGCTCAATCTGAGCTAGGTCAACCCATAGGAGGAGGACCAAATTACCAAGAATGGACCAGCACCCAGGACAAGGGCGCCGCCCATAGGTAGCGCCCATGGGCTGGCTCCCCAGCTCTTCTTCATCCTTCTCTTTCTCTTCCGCGGGGTATTATTGAAATTACTTCGACTCAAGTTCAATCCACTCCAACTCAAAGCCCATACTCAGGATGAAGCTCAATTTAACTCAGGATCATCTTTCAACGGAATAAGAACACGAGTGAGAGATTATTGGGATACGGAGATTCAATCCTACCAAAATTATACTTACCAAAATGATTAAAACCCCTTTTCTCACATCACTGCCTTAGTGAATCTATATAATGTAAGCCCTCAACACATAGAGGGCATGACTTTGAGACCTCTACAAGATTCTTACACACACTACACCTTCCTACACACATTATTTTTCTCTCCACACCATTGTAATACTCTCGGAGCATACTCTCCCAGAGATTCTATTCATCGATAAAACATCCCAGGCCAATGCTGCCGTTCCAGAGAGTAGAATAAGTTATCCGGACTGAACCACTATAAATTGTATATTTTACTCTTATTTATTGTTTTACTATTGATTGTCTATTTATTGCTCATTAACTGCATCTTTACACATTTTTGACTGTTAATTTTGCGTAAAATCAATTTGTGCATCATCATAAGTTACTGCAAGTAGATTCATTTGATAAGAAAAAGAAAATAAAGGGACTAATTATCACTAAAAAAATAAATTGCATTATTATCAAATATGAATAAATTAGTTTTTGAAATGACAAAACATGATTTAATAAAAACAAGTTTTTCCTCCAAAACATCAAAATAAAAAGAAAAAAGTTTTAAATTTTATCTTTTATTTTTTTTATTTCTTGTCTAATAATATAAGAATTATTATAAAATCAACTAAGTTATGTTTTGTTATATAATTAGAGATAACCAATGTCTGAAGATACGATACAATGTGAATAATTTTGAAAGAGATATTAGTGATTATTAGATGAGTCAATTTGAAACCATCGAATAGACTTATTTAAACCCTACTTTATATTATAGATGTAGATCAGATAAAATTTTAATTTGTGGACCTTAATATATAGTAGATTTGGGGAAAGGGACGAGAGATTTAGTATTGAGTTTTTAGAATCTTAAGTTACATGACTAAGATCCAAATATGACTAAACTTAATTGGTCACTTTTTATATTCTCAACTAAAAGGCTAGAGGGGGTTTGCGCTGACTTCTCTCAGTCACGTAACTCGAACTAATTTTAAGAATATGTCTCCTGAGGAACAAGATGACCGACTCTTAGGAGGTGTGAAAAATATCGAACTTCAGACTTCTTAATTGTTAAAAAAAACAGAACTTGACTACTGAATCACCCATTAGAGTTATGCCAACTATTCGATTGAGAATGAGATTGGATTATTTACCCAAAAAAAAGCAAAAGAGAGTGGGGATTCGAATTTATTTTTTAACATTGAAATAAAATAAAAGCTCACCGATGAAAGTGATACACTCACAAAAAGAGTGGTGGTAAGAGGGTCTCAAAATACACACGACATCTTAGTTAAGAAGGTTCACATATAGTGTTACTAATCAAAAGGTCAAAGAGAATTGATTCTTCTTCCACCGTACTGATCTCTACCAACCATCCAATGTTGACTATATATCCCATTTTCGATAAAGAAATTGAACATTCTTCTGTTCTGTAATGATACCCAGAAAATAAACAAAAAAAAAATTTTCTTCTTCAAGAGCCACTTTTTAACAGTAAAAGTCTGAGGGAGTACTCCGACAAAATCTGGGGAAATCTTGTCTTGATGGACAGAACGAGTTTGGGTGTCATTGAAGCTTGGATATGAAAGTGTAAAGCTTCTGGTTTCAAACAAATTGGCTAAAAGATTATACTAATAAATATCTATCAACGGGTCTTTAGTTCATTGGTATTCATTGTATTTGTGAATGTTTATCTTCCTGACCTCAAGGGTTTAAGCCCATTTCCTCCCTCCCCCTCCCAAAAAAAAAAAATAATAATAATAAAAGAAAAAAAAAATATCTACGAGCTAAGCGTTATACACCTCATAAATCCTTGAGGACAGCATACGGAATCAAAGTGGGTGGCCAGGGATGGAAGAGAGGGGAATGTTGCTGATTGCAGTGGGAAAGAGAAGGATATATAATGAGAAAAGGAATAGAGATTGAATTGCAGTGTGCTGCCAAGGACGGAAGAGAGAGAGAGAGAGTTGATAGGCGAATGTGATATGTCACACCACTTAAGAGCATGCATTCAAGGTTTTATACAATATAAAAGGTTTCAAAATTCAGTTAACAAACGATAGGGACATAGTTTGTAACTGCTATGATAGGTGTGCCAACGACTCGATGTAAGGCTGGTGTGGCTCAGAGGCACTGGACCACTCTCGTCTGGTTTGGTGATTGTTAGGTCTTGAATTCGAACCTCATAAAAGTAATGACTCTAGATTATCAAAA